AAACCGTAGGCAGAGAGGGAGAAGAGGACAACAAACGAGGGGCTGTGACAAACTGTTTCGTCGGAGTTTCACCGACTCATCAGGAGGCTGTATGTCACAGCCCCTCGTTTGTTGTCCTCTTCTCTCTCTCTGCCTACGGTTTACCGGGCAGTTCTATTTGTGACGATATATATATTTCGTCCATGTTTCTAGCACTAATCTTCTATGCTGGCCCATACTCTGCAACTCAACAAAATTGAAAGGTCTAATGGAATCAAAACAAATTTGAAGTCGCACAATCTAATCAAAGGGGTTCTACCCTATTCTACAAGCTCTCTCTCTCTCTCTCTCTCTCTCTCTCTCTCTCTCTCTCTCTCTCTCTCTCTCTCTCTCTTTTGCTGGGACCTTTGATGGTCCTTGCACGGCCGGGCAGCCCGGCTGGTAGCCTAGGTCTTACAACACCCCGTTCCCTAAAAATTTGGACCATTTCTTGATTCATGTCAGTCATCCTTGCGCAGGGGCCATGATAAAAGATTATTAGGTAAGGCTGTTTCAAATTTGGATCTGTTGCACTGCAGGGGCTTCATCTGCACTGCTATAGCAGCAGGGCAGTAATAAAAACTGCTGCACTGCAGAGGGGCTTCATCTGCACTGCTATAGCAGCAGGGCAGTAATTAAAAAAAAAAAAAAAAAAAACTTTGTCGCCAGCAGATGAATTGCTGCTCCTCCATTCCGTATGAAGTTCATCTGACGCAAACACCGGTTGATGCTGATGCAGTGCAAGGGAAGTTAATCTGCAGTGCAGCACAGCAGCAGACAAACTTCATATGCAGTCATTCGGGGCACAGGTCTTGCTTCGTCTGCAATGCAGCGTACAGTTCACCTGCAGTGCTCAGTTGGTAGAGCAATGAAAGCAGCATTCAGGAGTTCGTGGGTTCGATTCCCAACGTCTTCCATTTGAATCCCCACAGCCTCCTGCGGCGCACTGCGGGTAGTCGGCCTGCCCGCCCTGATTGGTCTTCTTGGCAGGGGCATCCTTTTCCCCTTCCATCCATCACCAGGGGTTAGAACCAACCCAAAGTGGAGTAAACAAGTGTTCCTCAGATTACCCTGTGGTGCTTTGACATGGGTGGAGGGTGATGCCTACCGTCTTCACCCGAATAGAACACCCGCCCATTATAACTGCATCCGGTCGGAAAGTTGCCCCAAATACGGCTATAATGGCCGGGCATTCTGTTCGGGTGAAGACGGTAGGACCTATAGGTATACCCTAGCTGCAGTCTGTTTCAGCCTCATTCTTCATTTGCACACTTTGGAGTACGTGCGTGTTGAGTCTGCGCAGGTAGGTAGGTAGTGTGAGGTGGAACAGAGAGAAGAATAATATAGCTTCGTTTTTGACACTTTTTGTTTATAAAAAAAAAAAGAAAAAAAAAAGAAAAGTTCATCTGCTGTGCTGCATTGCGAATGAAGTTCATCTGCACTGCATATACATGAGTGCCTGCAGCACATGAACTTTTTTTTCTTTTTTTTTTTTCACATTAATATCATCTGGCCCGATGGACCACGGATCAGATATATTTTAATCGGAACAGATACAGTGCACTTGATCTGTGCAAAAAGGCAATGAACAGATACAGTGCACTTGGTCTGTGCAAAAAGGCAATGAACAGATACAGTGCACTTGATCTGTGCAAAAAGGCAATGAACAGATACTTGCGAGGCTGAATTCCCGACGAGCCCTTACGGGCCCTGTTTTCAGCAAGGTCAGCCGCCCTAAGTGAAGGCAGGCCCGACCAAGGATGAGAGGCCTATTTTGGACTACCGCGCAACTGGAGAAATTCAGGCAGTTGCACAGCAGCGCCAGTTGGTTGAGAGTGTCCAGGCCCAGGCTGCCTTTATCAAATGTATCTGAGGCAGGCCCTGGGCGAGATACGCAACATGGACCCAATACAGGCTGCGGGCAGCTGGACACGGGTAACCGCCATAGGCCCTGGGGCCGATTCGTTTGGACTGGGGCTCAGCCTATCGGGGCCTACCGGAAGCTTCTGACAGCATTATAGCATGGTTTGAATACCGCCATAGGCCCTGAGGTTACTTGCAAATTCGGTTTTTTGCAGGCGGGAGACTCGAGACGTTTCGAGAGTGGCGTTATAGCATGGCTTCTGACAGCTCTCGATCGAGTTTCGAGAGTTTCCCGATCGAGAGTAAGTGCAGCGAAGACCCACTCTCAAAACTTCGAGAGTCTAGAGTAGTGCAGCGAGGCCCTTCATGGATGGTTTGTGATGCTATGTAGATGGAATGTGAGAGAGAGAGAGAGAGAGAGAGAGAGAGAGAGAGAGAGAGAGAGAGAGAGAGAGAGAGAGAGAGAGAGAGTTTGGGAATGTTGACAAACACACAAACAGTCACAGAAAGAAATTGAAAAACAAACAAAAAAACAGTGTCGTTGCGAGACGTCGCCTGGACCTTCCCCCGACAGAAACAGGTCTACAACACGTCCTGAGGGCATACACACACTAGACTTTTTGGACAAAGCTTTGGACGTGATTGCAGTCAGATTCATCCAGGTCTGGTCGCAATTGCACCCAGACGCATTTTGGAAACAGTTAGTGTAAGCATGCCCCCTGAGGCCGCCAAGCTGGTTGGGCCACAATGGCCCCATATAAACCTGCAAGAAAATGCGCAGGCAACCTGTAGGCGCCCGAGTATTTATTTGCCTGTGCGAATACGCATTTTTATGTAGGCAAGCCCTCTGTACCTGTAGCCCAGTCAGGCCAGGACCAGACACCCTCCGAGCAGATAAGACAACGACCGATAAGCTTTCTCCAGGAAAATCCCACAGCAGGGGGGAAAGGAAGGCTTCCTCCCAAAGAGCAAGGCGCCCTCGGAAAGAGAGAGAACGGTTTCCTTTGAAAGAGAGGCGGCGGCGTCCATCCAAACAGAGAGGGAGGCGTCCTTTCGGACGCCAAATGGGCAGCGGTAGCAATCCCGAGGAAAGGGGGAGCCCTGGGTATCCTAGACCCACAATCTAGAGGCGTCCTTTCGGATGCCAAATGGGCAGCGGTAGCAATCCCACGGAAAGGGGGAGGCCTGGGTATCCTAGACCCACAATCTGGCAAAGGGCCTCGCCTCATGACTTACCGTGAGGGCACGGGTGCGCAGCCCGTAGTTTGTATATGCTTGATTGATGAAGGAGGCGTAATTGGTGAGGTTTAGAAGTAGGGTGATTGTTGCATGAGAAAAAAAGGAGCATTTGTGTGTATGTGTCAAAATTAGTGGGTGTGTTTGTGTGATACTTTATGTGTTTGTGTTTATCACATCTGTTAGTGTTGGAACGTGTGGGATTTTGGTAATTTGCATGGTATTAGTGCATTAGATATTTGACATACCTTGATTCATAGTTGGTGTCGAGGCTGGTGGTTATTTGAATGTTGGTCCATATGTCGTATATGTGTGTGCTTGAGTGCTTGCTGTTGTAAGTTTTTTTCTTACTAGATAAAAGTTGTTTTGTCACATGTGACTCACTCAATTGGGTGCTGAATGTGTGGGGTGTTGAATACGTCCATGTTCAGACACATCTGTTTGCACTTGCAAACGCGATGCAGGTGTGTCCTTTCAACCTGCGGTGAAGGCCGCGCCCTTTCCGATTCAGACTTTTCCACCCTGCCGCTGCTTTGCCACCGTTTCGACCAAAACCCAGCGCGCGGTCCCACGGGCAGCTACAGGTCCCGCATTTTTCGAAGTAACTGCCACCACCCCCCAAAGATCCACCCTGCCGCTGCTTTGCCACCGTTTCGACCAAAACCCAGCGCACAGTCCCACGGGCAGTTACCAGTCCCGCATTTTTCAAAGAAACTGCCACCCCCCCAAAAGTGTCGTGCCTGCACCTGCCTGCATTTTTCAAACAAACTGCCACAGCGCCACATCAGCATGCAATGTAGACCAGAGGCAGCGCCACATCAGCATGCAATGTAGACTAGAGGCAGCGCCACATCAGCATGCAATAAAGACCAGACGTAGCACCACATCAGCATGCNAGCACCACATCAGCATGCAATGTAGACCAGAGGCAGCACCACATCAGCATGCAATGTAAACCAGAGGCAGCGCCACATCAGCATGCAATGTAGACCAGAGGCAGCGCCACATCAGCATTCCTGGCACATAGAACAAGAAGCGCCAGCAGGCTGCCTCTACCTCGTGCCGTCGTCCGCATCGCCAGTGCACACCCAGCGTCTTGCCAGCATCTAGTCAAAATCGAGCCAGCGTCAAAGCAGCATGGCCAGACTGAATGCTTGACCAACTCGAGCCCAGCCTTAAGTAGCATTTGTCGAGGCTGTCTCGCCTCGGTTGCCTTTCCCACAGTCGTCCAGATTGCCTTACAGCCGAGGGCCTGGATTGTACAGTTGCAGACTTACCCCTTGGACCTGATGCTGTTTGGGTACCTGCATACAAACAAATGTGTGCATCCGACTGGCGGCCTGGGCTGGGTACACTTTTGACTTTGACTGTTGGGTGATCCGACAGTTGACTGAAGTCAACTGTCACACGCCCAGGCCCTGAATTCGTGTGGGTTTTTTTCCCCTGTTTCGGCCTGGGCTGAGGTCGGCCAAGTAGGCCCTCAGATTTCCACGAGACATATGGCATGGGTTATTGCATATGCTTTTTCCCAAAAAAAGAAAAAAAAAGTCCGTGATACTTTTCTTTTTTTTTTTCTTTTTTTCTTTTTGGCACAACATCTTAGCAACCACTTGGTTCAGCTCAGTAGCCAGTTGGTACCACAATGCCACGGTCAAGCACTTCATAAGACAGGCAAAGAAGACAAATGCCATCGCACTGCTGAGAGGCGTCTTCTCATCATATCAGCAGAAATAAGATACGCGACAGACCAGCACCTAGTGTGTCAAGCACTTCATAAGACGGGCAAAGAAGACAAATGCCATCGCACTGCTGAGAGGCGTTTTCTCATCGTATCAGCAGAAATGGCATAAACGCCAGACCAGCAACTAGCGTGTTCCTTCCTCGTCATCAAAGCAATTGTTTACAATATACCCTACCCTGCTACACACGGACTCTCAGCCGTTTCTCAAAGAGCCTGCGGAGAAGGTACACCTGCAGAACACTTGATGCGACCAGAGCAGCTGCCTGTACACTCGCCTTAACAATCAGTCTCCTGTTTGTACTCTCAGCAGTTTTTTTATGTCGCATATCCCTTCCTCTTAGGTATATCAGCTCCGAGTACACACTGTCCAGCGCCTCCTCGAGTGAGGTAACTTGATTTATTATAGGAATGAAGCGATCGTCTTTTGCAACATCTTCTTTGGCCGTATGATGGGTTACATGGAGGTTGAAAACCACCATCTCGGGATAGGGGCCATGATTTGTAAAACAGAATTTGTAAATCCCTTTCTTCGATGCATGAAAGAGGAACTCATCTTCTGTCTTCTTCCTGGCAGAATAAACATTGTATCCGTGTGGTGCTGTCACCTGTACGTCCATTCCCTGTTCATCGCTAGCCCAGCCGTGCTCGCTTCCATACACAACGAAGGAACCCGTGATGAAGTCCCCTTCAGACTGAATATCCTCGTACACGCACTCCGATTTATCGATAGTCAATTGCACAGCCGCCGCGTCGAACGAGAAAATACAGGCACACACAACTGTACAGATAAAGAAAAGGCTCCACGAAGGACAGCCAGCACGACGAGGCGACCCGCCGCACCCAGCCATGCTTCCCACACAGAACTGATCTGTGGATGAGGCGAAGACCTTGCAAACCTAATTATTCAGCAAAAGTCCTCGGCCTATGGCAGAACTTCTTCCTTAGCCGATGACGGACCTTCTTCTTCCTGTGATCGCGGACCTTCTAGCGATCGCGGAGTTCCGGCGATGGCGGACGTTCTTCTCTAGCTATAGCAGACCACCTTCTTCCGCGACAGATCAACCTTCGCCGACGGCGACCGAGAGCCTCCTTGTGATGCACCTGGCGATGGTGCTCACGAAAGAAAGGCTGTGATACTTTTCAACCAATGGGATTTGTGAATTTGAAGGGGCATATGGATTTTCCCAAGGTCAACGCAACCTCCTTCCCCTGAATACCACCACCAGTCTATAGCTGGCTGTATTTAGACTGAAAGATACCCCAAATACATACAGCTACACTCATTGTAGCTGTATTTAGACTGAAAGATACCCCAAATACATACAGCTATAATGACCGTACAACGTACGGTCATTGTAGCTGTATTTAGACTGAAAGATACCCCAAATACATTCAGCTATAATGACAGTACTTTGTACGGTCGTTATAGCTGGTTGTATTTAGACTGAAAGATACCCTAAATACATACAGCTATAATGACGGTACGTTGTATTCGGGGGAAGAAGGTACTTCACGCAGTTCGGAGGGCACTTCAGTAAGTCTGTGCAAATGAGATTTGAAGTTTTGTTTTTGTTTTTTTTTTCCCCAAAAGGTATCATCTTTAAATTTCAGGGAGATTTCAATTGAGGCCAAGGACCTCACAATTCAACCCGGAGTTATCCCGACAGCTTTAGCCGGTTTCACTTACAGCCTTCAAGGCTGAAGAACCAATGATTACGTCCATTGATAGCCACTCGCTTCACTCCAAGATAAGAAAACTTACTATGATCCCTACTTGCCTCAGTCAGGTTTAAACTTACATTCGCTACTACCTATCCCCTAAGAAGCTAGGGCTGCCTCCTACAAGCTAATCAGGTTGATTTAGCCGATTATCTAAGCTATCAAAACCATAGTCCAACCTCTCATTCCCCTTTGTCAAAGAGGAAGTAAGAGATTACGTTAAGCCCCAACAAGATTACGTTAAGCCCCAACAAATACAAGTTACTAGATACCTAGTCAAAAAATTCTTCCTCCCAACAACCCAAACCCAAAGCCCTTCTCTCAGCTACCCAAGAAGGTCTAAGAACGGCCCCGGGACATAAAGTTGTCCTCTCTAAGACCCGTGACCTAGAAGCCAGTCCTGGGTTCCATTTAGGAATGCAACCAATCTGCTATCTTTAAATCTCCTTCTGCTGAAATTGATGCCCAGCCTATATTTCTAGTCCATGTCTGTGAAAACCAGTAACGATTTTTCCTGGCCTGACTCCGGGCTGCCTGCCAGTCCACACGGATTGCCTGCCTTATCAGAGTATTGATCAGGGCAATTTGGTTTTGAATAGAGACAGTCTCCTGTTTGAATGCTTCTTGATTGCGGGACTTCCATAGAGCTTCCATAATCGCCCCTCGGCAAGATAGTGCCACATAGGCCCAGCCTGAATGGAACTCCCCTCTGTCATTACTTTTCCCGTAAAGCAGCCACTCTTGCGTCCAGAGAAAACTTCCATCTGTAACAGCCTTCCATCATTCACGCCATCAATCCCAAACCTGGATAGAGTAAGGGCAGAACAGCCAAATATGGGAGGCTGTTTCCCAGCCCCATTTACAACGAGCACATTGCTTAGTAATGTCCATACCTCTTGATGCCAACCATGTTGCTAACAGTGTGACCAAAAGTAGTTGCAGCCACATCAGGCTAGCCTGTTTCTGAGAGTTCATCCATCTCAGTGCCTTCCAAAATCCAAACAGATCCATGTTTCCAAGCATAAAGCCTGGTTCTTTGGCTAACCGCTAAACTGCTGTCCTCACCGGCTGTTTCTTGACTTTCGCCCTTAATATCTGGACTCCAAATTTTGGCTTATACATTACCACCGGTATCTGTTTACCGAGCTGAACGCCATCTTGCCAACCATACAATAGAGGTTCTATATGAACCTTCGAGGCATCCTCTACTATGAGGTAGGCAGCTTCTTGCTTTGCAGAGGTCTTATAGAGGACCCGACATTCTACCACATCCACTGTTGAGGGGATTGACATCTCCCCCCCTTCGCTGAGAGCTCCCCGCGGGTTCCCCATCTTCCGCCTCCAGCTTTGCACTTTGATACCCTCAGGCAGATCAGGACCCAAAATCTTTAATACTACCTGACTGTCAAGCGGGTCTAGCAGCCACGTCCCTGGGCCATGTTCCACCGACCATCGAGGCAGTAGTGCCGTCCAATAGGGAGGGATGGTCTTTTTTTTTTTTTTTTTTTTTTTTTTTAACAAAAAACGGGCCCAGTGCCCAAGGCTTATATTGCCAATATGCAGAGGGATGGCATTTTTTAGCACAGTCTTGTAGTTATTTTCAATATTCCGCAATCTGTTCAGTTTTCTTTTAAGCCTGTCTAGCGGGATCCAGGTCTCGTGGACCTCGTCCCACAGATTTTTTATCTGAACAATCCCTTTTTCCACCCAAGCTTCGAAGTTTTTTTTACCCTTATCCTATCCCTTTAGATGATGCAAGAAGTCGTTTTGATATACGATTTTACCTCGTGTGAACACTCTACTGCATGTGGACCCATTTTTGGACCGGGTGCGTTCGGACGAGTCCAACAATGTATCGGGACAATTATGAGCTCCAGATGCATATAGAGTGTTGTGTAGTGGAGCGAGGCCCTTTGCTGGTGGAAGACTGGCACAACTCAGACATCTCCCAACAGCAGAGCGAGCTGCGCAGAACGAACGTGATCCAGACCGCGGACCATAATGAGATTCTTTTTTTTTTTTGCCTTATTTTTTCCCCGTTTTTAAATGCAGACATCTCGGACGGTATAGTAACATCGACCTTCTGAGGGCATACTCACACTATGACTTTCCTCGATGCATCTGACCGCTTTTGCCGCCAGTCTTCCATGCATCTGACCGCTTTTGCAGCCAGTCTTCGATGCATCTGGCCGCAATTACGTCCAAAGCTCAGTGGAAGAAGTTCTAGTGTGTGTGCTCTGAGATAAACTTTTTTCTTTCTTTTTCTCACGCTAGGAATTTTCTGGATGCATCTGACCTCTTTTGCAGCGAGTCTTCGATGCATCTGACCGCAATTACGTCCAAAGCTCAGTGGAAGAAGTTCTAGTGTTAGTGTGCTCTGAGATAAACCTTTTTCTTTCTTTTTCTCACGCTGCTAAATTTCTGGATGCATCTGCCCGCTCTTACGGTCCGTCCTGGATGCATCGGACCGCAATTACGTCCAGAGCTCAGCGGAAAAAGCCCAAGTGTAGGTGCGCTCTGAGACTCCTCTTTCTTTTCTTTCTTTCTTTCTCTCTTCCTCCCCCCCCTCCCCCCCCAAGAACAATTGCTCCTTTCTATATGTAGGGAGCTGCACATGTTGGGAACCTCGCACATGAGGCCGGGGTCCTCTTTCTTTCTATTTTTTCTCTTTCTTTTTTTTCTCTTTCTTTTTTTCTCTTTCTTTCTTTCTGTTTATTTTCACCCCCCCACTTGTGCCCTACGGCCCCCTTAAACTCAAACCGAGGCCTCACAAAGAATAAGGTTGCTTCGATAAAGTAGAATTCCTTTTTTCAAAAAAAAAAAAAAAAAAGAACCTCGCAGTCTACCTGGAGCCAAAAAAGAATTGCCAGGACGCATTACCCGATTTCGCTTCAGAAGGAATAAGGTGGATTCTATAAAGCAGAATTCCTTTTTTCAACAAAAAAAAAACAAAACATTTTTTGCAATTGTCCGATGGACCACGGATCAGTGTTTTTTTTTTTTTTTTTTTTGGGTTTTCTTTTCTTGGTTTTTTTTTGGGTTGTTGTTATTGTTGTTGTCGTCATCCGATGGACCACGGGGATCAGATATTAGGGCCTGGCTCCACCACTCACCACATATGGCACTGTATCTTTCCATGTTCTAGCAATAGATTCACACTCACTTTGCACATTTGGTGAGGGGGAAAAAAAATAATAATAATAATAATAATAAAAAAAGAGAAAAAAGCGAGGCCCTTTTAAACTGATCAAGCAGAACAGTTAGGATGCTTACTCACACTCGTACTTTCCAACCTGCATCTGGCTGAAATTACGGCCAGAGGTGGATGAATCTGACGGCAATCACGTCCAGACTTTTGCCCAAAACAACTCCTAGTGTGCTTCTTTACACTGAATCTTATCCAGCCAAAGGTCTTTCCTTTTCTTTCCTTTCCTTTTCTTTTTTTTTCTTTTCTTTTCTTTTTTTCTTCCGGGATTTTATATTTTCGAAGCAAATCTGAGAGCAGTTCAAGAAGGACAGTCAATCCTTTCGTTTTTTTTTCCTTTTTTTTCTTTTTTTTTCCCTTCTAAAAAAAGGTCAACTGACAATCAATCCTCCAGGAATGGAGCAATCAATGCTGGTCCTTGGAATTCTCAACGGAGGGATGGGTGAGCTGGGAGCATGTACAAATTTTGTATCTTTAGCTTGGTGAGTTTTTTTTGTTTCTTTTCTTACTTTTCTTCCTGTTTTTTTTTTTTTAATTCCTTTTTAATGTGTTCTTTAATTCTTTTTCTTTTTTTGTATCTTCGATAATTTAGCCCGTGGTAAAGGAACTGGACTGGTGGTATGCGCAGCAGGAGGAACAGGGGTGGAGCAGCAGAGGTAAATCCTTTCCTGTTTAGGAAGCAATCGATGCGGCAGTCTGAGGGCGGAGGAGAGATAAAATCCTTCCTGGCTAGGTAGCAACCCTCAATGCCACTGTGTCAGGGTGGAAGGTAGAGTAGAGGTAACCACCCCCCCGTTTAGGGGGTAATAATGAAGCAGACGCAAATCCTTCCTGTTTAGGAAACAATTCATCAATGCCGCTGTCTCAGGATGATAGGGCAGAGGTAAATCCGCCGGCCTCAGAACCGGACTGACGTTTTCACAGCAAGCAAGATGAACTGAACAACGGTGGAGTGGACGTAAATCTTTTCCTGTTTAGGAAAAAGCAATCCTCAATGCCGCAGTCTCAGGGTGGAGCAGACGTAAATCCTTCCTGTTTAGGAAAGCAATCATCAATGCCACTGCCTCAGGGTCTCTCGGCCATAACGGAGGGCAGAGTCGAGTCACTAATTACCGTTTTCCACCGAATAGAAAGAACACTCATTATATATCAGCTGTGTCTGTATTTGGGGCAACTTGCAGTCTGGATACATTGCTATACTGCCCATACTGCGTTCTATTCGGGGGAAGACAGTGTAAGGGCCGCGGTTTCAGGGAAGGGGGGGGGGAGAAGGGGGGGGGGGGGGGGGGGGGGGGGGGGGGGGGGGGGGGGGAAGGAGGAGGGGGGGGAAACTGTCGTTTTCGAACGCGTGTGCAGAGCAACAATTGGCCATTGCTTGACCTTCATCTTCTTCTTCTTGTCGTTTTCGGCAAAAAAAAAAAAAAAAGAAGAGGACTCGTCCTTCGGGACATCCATTAAAATTGGAACGATACACAGAAAGAAGATTAGCATGGAGGAAAAAAAAAAAGAAGAAGAGGACTCACAAAATACGCCGTCTGCCAATCCTTGTGCCGATGCAGATCACCAAAAATTGGCCGAAGATTTTCTCTGACAAGTTTCTTCAAGTCCTGTCTGACCACGTGGCTATTCCCCCGACCTGCTGATAACCTTCCCTTCCTCCCATTATCTCCATATTTCTCCTCCTCCTCATCATCATCATCATCACCCTCCTCGTCTCTCGCATAGCCTTTCGTTGGCGTTGATTGGTCCCTCGCCGCATCCGTGGTTGGTCGGGATCCCGTCGTCATCATCTGCTCATAATCCCCTCGCTTCATCCCCGTCGCGGCCGCTGCCGTCGACTCCGTCCCCGATCCCGACAGTGCCACGTCATCCCTTGCCGCCACGTCACCGTCCCCGCTGCTCATCAAGGAACCACCTACCTCCTCTCTCATTCTCCAACTCCTAAGCTCTGCAACCAGCCTCAGTACGAAAGAGTTCTGTCGATCGCCCTCTCCCTCTCGAGGTCTAAGACGATGATGGTCCTCCCTCTCCCTTCCTCCCTCCCTTCCCCCCTCCCTTCCCCCCTCCCTTCCGCCTTTATTTTCACGGCCTCTGTCGGGTCTCCAGATCTGTTTGTACATCCCCCTCCCCTCCCTTTCTCTCTCTCCCCCCTTGCTGCCGCCTCTGCTCTCTCCCCTTTCCACCGACGAGCGCTGGGGCCGCCCGGTTCCGGCGCGCCGCCTGCCTTCCCCCTGCTGCTGCTGCGCATCTTCCGCCGCCCCGATCCCACCGTGCCGCCTCCTCCCGGCATTCTCCACTTCGATATCCTGTGCTAGCTGGCAGACTGACACGCTCTGCCGCTGCGCGCGGAGCAATCTGCCCCCGCCAGCGGCGCGCCGAGCCCTGAACAACCCTCTCCGCCCTTGGCGCGCCAGCGATGCACCATCTCCCCCCCCCCCCCCCCCCCTTCTCTCATCGCCATTCCCGCCAACAACACCGTCAACGATCCCGATCCCGATTCCGATCCTGCTTCCGATCCATAGATCGCAGCCGCCGCCGCCGCCGTTCTTGTGCTCCCGCCGAAGACAACCTGGACCCTCAACGACGCCCAGCCCCGACTGCCACGTCAGCTGGTTCACGAGACGCACGCTGCCGCTGCCGCTGCCGCTGCCGCCGCCGCCAATTCCGTCCTCTGGGCGGGATGGCCGGCAATACGACAAAACATGAGGAAACGATGATTGGCAGCAAAGAGAAGACGCAGCGTGCGGCTGCGAGTTTGCCACGTACGACTGCATTCTCTCTCTCTCCCTCCCCCCCTTGAGATCGGTTGGCAGCCGTCTACCCGCCCACACGTGGCGGGCAGAGGATCTTCAAGCCCTGCTGCTCCAGAACTCCTCAAGACCGTTCCCCTGCCCTACCTAACCTCCCCTCCCTCCCCTACCCTACCTAACCTCCCCTCCTCTCCCTTCCCCTCGCCTCTCCTCGCCTCAGGCAAGCGACTTGCTACCTAGCTGCTTGGCCCATCGACGGCAATCTTTCAGACCAGAGAACGTGGACACCTGCAGCAGCCCCAGAACTCGCTACCGTTGCTCCACAACAGAACAAAGAGAACACAGGATCTGCCCGTTGCTCCCCCTGGCTTCTTTTTCTTTTTCTTTTTCTTTTTCTTTTTCTTTTTCTTTTTCGAACTCACGCTGGCTTCCCCGCCCCACCGCGCCGAAGCTGATCGAATTCTTTTTTTTTTTTTTTTTTTTTGAGAAGCTAATCGAATTCTCACTCCCTTGTCCGCTTCCCTCCCTGATGACTCATTGCCACGTGGCGGTCGTTGGACTGCCGCTCGCCAGCTGTCCTTCCGTCCGATTCCGATACCTTGTCTGATTCGGTGTCCATCCAGGCGTGACAGAGAAATCGGCCACGTCTTCCCTGTCACGCGTGACAGAAACCTCGGCCTCGCTCAACTCTCGACATGCACGCAGGACAAAAATCATGGCCGTGTACCTCTCCATCCTCTAGCGGAAGGCTATCACTCTCGTTTTGCACGTTTCGAGAGTAGTGGAGCGAGGCCCCAGAAGTCCCATTACCCGGGGTTTTAGGCTTGCTTCCCAGTAAGCACCGGTTCCTGCCATCCGATCTGAACATCCCACGCCTGCACGTGAGGCCACGCTGAAAATGCTCCAAAGGAAAGCCAAACCCCCGGCGCCCGATCTGGACACGACCGTCTGCTTCCCAATCCCCGCGCTTACGCTACAGGCTGGGCAGGATCCGAACTCTATGTTTTCGGGGGCTAGGTCCCACTTGCACGGATTAAGAGATTCTGGCCCTTAATTCGTGTGAGTGGGACCTAGCCCCGGGAGTGCTCACTTCGCCATACATTACATGGGGTCTCGAGCAAACGGCCAACAGTAGCTCAGTTGGTTGGGAACGCAGGTGGCATTGAGGAGTCGTGGGTTAAATCCCCACTCGCCACCTGTGGCACTCTTGGTGCCAACCAACTGAGATAGTTCCCTTGCTCCCCCCGTTTGGTATTGGTAGGGTCTTTGGCCATCACGGGTGTGCATGTGTGTGGTGCGTGGGAGACTGGTGGTCATAGAGACTGCTGCTACTCTATGGGGGCGGGGAAAGCAGATGGCAGGCGCAGCTACTGGCCAAATGCTTGGTCTTTGCGTTCGCTGCCCACCCCCCACCCTACTCCCTGACCACCAGTACCTTTCCCCGCTTGAAAATCAAATATGCGCCGGTATATTCGGGAGCTAAGCGCAGTTCGATACTACCAGACCCAAATGGCTGGTGATGCCAGCCAAAATGAGGCCCGCGCCGGTTCGTTGTTTCGGCGCGCAGGGCAATTTTAGGCTTGGCATCGCTAGCTGAGAAAGGTACTGGTGGTTTAATTGTGAGAGGGAGCTATGCTTGCAGGGCTCCCCTATATAGGCTTAGGACTAGTGGTAGGCACGTAGTGAAAGGTGAAATTGAGAGAAGAATATAGCTTGTCTTTTTTTCTCTATCTATACTCTTTATAAACAGCACAGTGGGTCTCGCGTGACACTCCCGCGGGCCGGAGCCCGTGGGAGTTCAAAGTCGCTTCCATTTGCGCCGTTTGAATACAAGTTCATAGCGTGCATGGCTGGAAATCTCTCTCTCTCTCTCTCTCTCTCTCTCTCTCTCTC